TGTTTAGTTTCTTATCATATACCTTCCTGAATGGAAAACATTCTGGAATCCTTCTTGATTGCTTTTGGTGTTTGGTTGCTAATGGTACATGATCTGAACAACGTTTTAAAAAAAAAACAGCGCTTTACCTGGACTCTGAGTAATGTTGTTGTTACTTTTTAAGCACACCAAGTTATAATGTGCTTGTCACCAACTAGTTACCTTGTGTTTCATTTTAAATAAATGATATAATTAATTGCACTAAGTGCGTGAACTATACATATGAAGACATTAACCAATCGCTTAACTAGAGATGTGAAGGCCTGGGAAAAAAATGGGAACATTCAGGGGAAAAAACTGGGTTTTTTTCTGGTTTTTTCCAAGGACTTTTTTTTCCTTTTTTTAATGGAAAAATTGGAAATTTGGGGGAAAACTCTTATGAAATATTTTCTTTTAGAATGATGAATGAAATGCTTTTTAAGACAAGAGTTTCAAATATTGCTTATTACAGCTGCCCTTTACTCCCTCAAAATGATTTCTAATAACTATATAATATGAAGATGTTTTATGTAAGACAATCTCCAATATTAGATCATTACAATTCTTGTATATGGTAGACATAATACAACCCTCAAATCCAAGATGCATTTCTTCCCCCAGAGGGTACTGCCGTCTGCACAGGAGAAAGGAAGGATCCAGGGTAGCCTTTGCTTGTGTATTTCTGCACTGCCTGCATCCTTCCTTCCTCTGGTGACCTTTGATCTAGAGTTTGGTGGAGATAGAATAATATGTCCTCTTCCTGAGTCTTGACCAGGCCCCTCAACCTGGTCACCTCTCCCCTCAGAGGACTGGGAATGGACACTAGCAGCTCACTGCTATAGGGAAACAAGCAGCTTATTGCCCTTCTTGCTTGTGTGAAGAGACTGCTGAAGTCCTGCTGTGCGTAGCAAAGCCTCAAAGGAAGAAAAAAACCTAAAGATTTTGGTGGTGGACTGGAACCTGCCTCCTCCTGGACCCTGAAATACACAGAAGTACCTACCAAACTGCATCTAGCAACATAAAGGAACTGAAAATAGACTTCTTGTTTATTGAAAGGTGAGAGTTTCAATTTCTTTGAGTTCTGCATATTAAACTATATTTTCAGTTAGTATATTTTCATATTGTATGTAATTCATAATGTAGTTCCTACCAATCTGAAACTTGCCGAGCAAATCACACGCTACTCTTACCTTTAGCAGTGAGGTGAGGTGTGAGGGAAGGGGTGGTTCACAGTTACTTTACTGAGGAGTGTTCCCCTCCATCAAGTACTACATTTTTTTTCATGCCGTAGCTTAGTGTTTATATATGTAACCTAGCTATTAAATTACTTATTTCTTTTTTTTCTCCTCAGTAACATGGTGCAACCATCTCCTAACGTACAGAAGCATTTCTACACTGCAACTGCAAGTCATTCTGAAAAAAGCCTCTGTTTTGCAAATACTGTCAAATTAAATATGCATTTCCAAATGTTACCAGGATGACCAAACACATCCTTGCATGTATGAAGTGTCCTGCCGATACTAAAAAACAACCCTTCATGCTTGTGAGTGAGGTAGATCATGATGACAATGGAAGTAGACTTGCAAATGTTCTCGATCTAGAAGTCCTCCTGCTTCTTCTGTAACATCAGCATCACAAAGTCTTGCCCAGTCAACATCATCAGGTAAACAGATATCTCAACCAACTGTGTCCAAAAGATTCCCAATAACTTCATTTCTAGACAAGATGACACCTGAAGAGCAAGAAAAAATTGACCAAGCTCTTGCAAGAGCAATATATGCTTCTGGGATGCCACTATCAATCACTGAAAATGCACATTGGCAGGCAGCATTTAAATTATTAAGACCACTGTGTCATTTGCCCAGCCGACAGTCTTTGAGCAAGCCTCTTCTAGAGTCAGAATATGAATGTGTAATGCAATCTGTGCACAAAAAAATCAACAAAGCACTCTGTAGTGTAGTACTTACTGATGGGTGGACAAATGTAGGGGGAGAAGGAATCAAACTTTGTGATAGCACTACCTCAACCAGTTTTTCATAAAAGCATTGAAACGGGAGAATGCACATACAGCAAAGTATATAAGTAGTAAAATAGGTGAAGTCCTACAGAAGATTGGGAGTGGTAAAGTATTTGCCTTGCTGACTGACAGCGCAAGTAATATGAAAGCAGCATGGGAGATCATAATGGACAAATATCCACATATTACTGCAATAGGATGTGCTTCCCATGGCCTAAACTTGCTTCTTAATGATTTCATAAAGTTGGACACACTGCAAAAAATCTATAATAGAGCAAAAGAAGTTATAAAATATGTAAAATATACTCATATTGTAACTGCAATCTTTAAGAAGAAGCAGGAAGAAAAAAATGGTGACACAAACTTTGTAGTAAAACTAGATGGGGCAGGGTGAAGATCTCATTTGAAAGTTTACTAAAAAACAAAGACGCTTTTCAAGAAACAGTGATAACTGAAGATCTTAAAGTAGTCTGAAATTGTGCTTGCTGAGGATGTCTTCTGGGTCCAGCTGCAGAACTCTCTGAAGATTCTAAAGCCAATTCCTTCAGCAGTCACTGCATCTGAATCCCATGGTGCGCTTTTGTCAGACATTCCTTACCTAGGGTTACCATATTTCCGGTTCCAAAAAAGAGATCTCCAATCGCATGGTGGGGTCAGGGGGATATATGATTGTGGGGGGCAGTGATATGCTGGTCCTCTGGTCCTGCCCATTCCAGTGCCCCTCACTCCCAAGCCACAGTCCTCTCCTGCCTTGCCCTCAGGCCTGCTGGTGCCCCCCCTGCCCCCCCCAAGCCCTGCTGGTGCCCCTCACTCCTGACCCGCAGCCCCCCCTCCCCAGCCCTGCCAGTGCCTCTCACTCCTGACCTGCAGCCCCTTGCCCCCCCAGCACTGCTGGTGTCCCTCCTTCACAGACTCTGACCCTACTTGCTTCTCACTTTATTCAGATTCCTCCATCTTCTGCAGCATGTAAAAGAAACTGATCTGTGTTTAGAACTATACATGCCAAATCAAGAAGTAAACTAACCTGTGAAAGAGTAGAGAAGCTTGTTTCAATCCATGCAAACCTTCAGTTTTCTGAAGTCCATGAAGATAAAAATGAAGGTTCAGATTCAGAATCAGAAGATATTTTAGAAACTGAGCATGTCTTTGTTTAGACAAAGAAACTAGTAGTTTCAAGGTTATAGCTGATTGTTTAAATGACACATTGGTTTTATGTGCCAAATTTTGTCTCCAGCCTTAGAGGGGTGTTTTTTCTGAGCTCTTTTTCTAAAAACTTGAGTTTCTTCTGTTTCTGGAAAGCGCTGACTGTTTTGGAAGAGACTTTCTAAGTCCAGATAATAAAAACTTCCTTTTGTTTACTACAATGTTGATAGTTTCTATTTTCAACTTGTATTTTTTTCCTAGTTCTCATGAACTGGCAAAAACTAAGATATGCTTAATCACAGAAATTAAGGGTTGGAAGGGACCTTGAAAGATCATGAAGTCCAACCCCCCTGCTCTGGGCAGGAAATCCTACAGCACTGGGTATTCCCAGGCAGTTTCCTGTCCAAATACTAACCAGGCCCAACCCTGCTTAGCTTCTGAGATCAGACAAGATCAGGCATGTTCAGGGTGGTATGGCCATAAGTTAAATACCTTAGGGTGCAGAAGTTTGGAGCTCTATCTGTAACAATAATTGCAAATAATTATTTTAAATAGCTTAGTTTTATTAAAATAATACAGCATTTATGCTTTTAATTTTCATAAATATACCAAACATTTGGTTTTATGTGCTAATTAATTTATACATCAGTGATCACCAACCAATGAATCTTGATTCACTGGTAGATCTCAGAGCCTCTTGTGGTAGATCTCAGAGCCTCTTGGAGTCAACCTGAGGCTGGGGTGGGGGACTGAGTGCCCATGTGCATGCACGTGTGCATCCCAGCGCAGCATGTCAGTCTGTGGAGGAGGGAAGGAATGGGGGCTCGATCAAGGCCCCTGTGGTGAGGGACAGTGCTGCAGAGGCAGGAGCAAGGGTAAATTGAGTAGAGCCCTGGCTGGGTGGGACTTACCTGCTGGAGAGGCATGTCCCCAAATAATTTTTTCTCAATCTGCCTCCCCACCCTGCCTTCCCTCCTCACATACTTACCTGGTGGGCAGGGGGAAGTGGGGTGGCAGTGGTGCATGGTAGATCTTGGGTTGTTTTAAACGCCAAAGGTGATCTCCTACTTTAAAAGATTGGAGACCACTGTTATACATAATATATTTTGTGTTCTTAAAGTAGTAAAGTAAATAGAGATAACTCTTAAGGAATACACTGACTGGCACAGAAGATAAGCTGGAAGCCTCAGCAGAGAAATAGCATGTTCACTTGAAAGAACATGCAAGAAATAGGAAGCTGAGTTATGTACCAGGGGAAGTTTCTGAGTAGGTTTCAACATAGTGACGTACTAAGACTCCTGGCAGTCCTGGGCGAACTTTTAGTATTGGGCCCCCCTTCGCCAGAGATAATGATAGTTGGACAATGGGAAAAAAATTACCATTTTTAGTCCCCTTTCCGTTTAGGCGCTGGGCGGCTGCCTGGTTTGCCCAATGCATGTGTCCAGCCCTGTTTGAACACTAGCCCTGTTGCAGAGTAAAGATCTTGGATGGCTTTTGAACATAAAGAGCGAACTTCCCAGATGTATGCTGTGCAAAACTGACAGTCTGCTGCTTGTATTCCATTTGTTTTTGTGAACTGCTGCACATCTGAAAGGGGCTTCCAATTCTCCGGACACTAGTATTCGCTAGACCATTTTTCTCTCTACCTCCCCCTTCCACTCCCAGTTACACACCAGTGATAGCACGGCAAAGAAAGACAAAGCTGTCAGCCACTCAATTGTCAGGAGGAGATCAAATTCAGTGTTACTATTGGAACATGGCATGCTATGACTCAGAGCACTGATTACTCACTCGTCTCCCACACTGTCAGCTGAGGAAAAGATAAAAGGACAGCAAGATGCACTGCAGGCACCTAGCAGTTGTTTGGGGAAAGTTTAAAAACACATCCAAATGCAATGGAGATACAACTGTGGGTTACAATGAGCACAGAGGTAAGAAGAAATGAGAAAAATAGCTCTTTTGGCTGGCTAGATTTGTGTATGGTTGGTGGGCGACAGTTTATTTTGATCCTCTGGTTTGTTGCGCTGCGTGTTCCTTACCCAAGAGCAAACTTATCTGTTCAGCTGGGTACAAACAATGCAAGTGAATTACAGCAGCATCATTTACCAGCCTACAAACAGTTATTAACATACATGTTAGTTCCCCAGTGTTTTCAAAGAGGCTTCACGTTGTGATTTTTCTCCCATGTCGGAACAGCATCTGCTGTTCGGATTAGCACAGAAAATGATACCCTTGCTCACTCAGAGGTATGTCATTCCTACCAGCTAGAGGCCAGAGACATTTTGAATGCACTAAATCAGTTATTGTGTATTCTTTGCAAATCCCACTCTGTTGGAGGACTGAACTGTGGAGTCTGCTGGGTAATGGTAGTGGTTTAGGAAGATGGTGAAAACCTGTTTCAGTCTCATCTGCACAGCCGGTAGTTGCTTTTTACCTTTGCCTGAAGATGGCCATGTTGTAACTGTGCATCTCAAGATGGTCAGATTTACTGTAGATGCTAGGTAGTACGTCTTGTCTTCTTTTTTCTAAAGTCTGGGCTGTCACTATTCTGTCCTCATTAGGCTACACACTGCTGCTGACATTTCACGTGATCCAAAGAAAACTAATGTACTCAGGAAGCTGGCAGAAGACCTGCCTTGGCCAGGTTGAAAGTGACTCTTGCAATATGTAGCAAGGCACTGCTCTTTATTGCTCCAGGTCTTCCCGAAGTAGACGTTTCACATATCAGAAATGGTAGTCCTGATAGGCTCTGTTAAACAATGACTGTCTTCAGATTTCATTTTATGTCTCCTTTCCCAAACCCCTACCAATAGGTCCTAAGTTTGGCATCTTACTTATGCTGGGATAGAGAGGATAATGCAAGAGTGGACAACCTGTGGCACACATGCCACAAGTGGTATGGGCGGCCTCTATGCACGGTATATGGAAGATCAGGGAGAACAGCAGCAGATGGAGCAGGAAGCAGAAAGCAGGTCAGCGGATTGGGCAGAGGAAGGGGATAAGAGGGGCTTTGTTTGTGGTACTCCTGCCAAAAAGACTAGCCCCTGTTGGTTTAATGTTTGACTGCAGACTTTCCAAAGTTTAGTTCATCTCTATAAAGATGCTTTACTAAATCCATGTTTTGGGGGGTATTGGTTATAGTGTGTTGGGTGTTTGTGCCCGAAAGCTGGCAAAGAACAATTTTTCCAACTATTTTAATTGCTCTGATAAAAGATATCGCGTTTACCCCCAAAAAATGTATTTTACTTACCAAAGACCCTACATAGGTCCTTAACATGGCAGATAGATTAGTATTAGCTTGAAAAATCTGAGATACTCAGGAAGTGAACCTCAGAGATCATCAGATTGTAGCACCACTTACCAGCACTATGATTCTGGTATCTTATATGAAGATTTTTTAGTCTATTATGACTTTTTTTCTCAGTATGATTCAACCTCTCTCTAAGCACTGGAAACATTTAAAAACAACTATAATGAATAGTCCAACAATGAAACACTAAATGATGCTAAAAGGTTATTGTCCTTGTGACTAAAATCCCCACCCTTTTCCTTATTATGCTCAAAAAAAAAATGCAGATTTTTCAAATGTGATTAGTGATTTTTTTCTGCCTATAATTTTGTTTGTCTAGTTTGAGGGAACTACTTATCAGAAGGTTAGCCATCAATCTGTCCTTTCTGAAAATGTTGCCCCTCAACAATACCTCAGGTTGAGTACCCAAAGTTCCAAGCCATTCCTGAAAATGTTGAAGCAGCATGAATATGCCTGCAAGGTAAACAGGCTCAGCTATGTTAAATAAAGGGGATAAATAAATCTCCTTTCAGAATAACCTATCATGTCTCCCAATACATACGCTTAAGGATTAGGCACAAAAATCTTAGCTGATATTGCCTCTTCCACATTGTTGAAAGGGGGAATTGTTTCTAATGTTCCTAGAATCAAAGTATATTCATGTTCCATGGGAGGGCTCTGACAGATCCCAACCAACTCAGATTGCAACTGAACGAGAACTGGAAGCCAGAATATGCACTGTAGTCGCTAGCTGAGAGAGTTAATGTTAGCTAGGGTCTAACAGTAGGGGTGCACCGATAAAGATTTTCTTGGCTGATACCAATAGCTGATTATTCACCAGTCATATTGGCTGATACTGATCCGATAACCAATTTACAGGAATGCAGGTGGGCAGCATGGAGAGCAGCACCCTGCAGGTAAGTCTGTGGAAAGAAAGGGGAATGGGGGGTGCAGATCAAGGCCCCCATAGTGAGGGAGGGAGTGGGGCTGGGGCTGGGGCAGGGCAGTGAATGGGGCTCCGGGGTCAGAGCAGGGAGCGGGATGGAGCCGTGGGCGGCTCGTCCAGAAGATCAGCATCCCAGCATCTAATAATGGTTGTGGGGGTGCTTGAACATCAAATGAGCTTAGTTCAAGTGCCACTGCCACCATTTTTAAGCTCTAGGACACTTTTAACCAGAGCCAAGTGAGGTGAGGGCGGAGGCAGGCTGCCTGTTGTGGGCTCGGGGCTCTTTGCCCTGCTGCCTTTGCCCTGGGAGCCGTGCGCTAGCCATGCCATGTCCCCTACCCATCCAGCAGTGGGAGGCACAGCTCACCACTGCCATTGCTGCCAGATGGGCAACGGATGCAGCACGGCCAGCGTGCAGCTCCCAATGCAAAAGCAGCAGGGTGAAGAGCCCACAGTGGGCAGCCTGCATCTGCCGTCCCGCTCGGTTCAGCTCTAGGTAAAAGAATCCCAGCGCTTAAAAATGGCGGCAGCAGCACTTGAATTCAAGCTCATAGAATGGCCCCGCTGCCATTTTTAAGCACCAGGACACTGATCCCCTGGACAAGCTGCCTGCGACTCCGTCCCACTCCCCACCCTGGCCCCAGGGTCCCATTCACCACGCAGCCCCTGACCCTGCCTCTGCCCCACTCCCCCCCTCACAATGGGAGCCCTGATCTGCCTGCTCCATGCCCCTTCCCCTCCACAAATTTACCTGCAGGGCACTACTCCCCACGCTGCTCAGCTAAATTTCTGGCTGCATGCATGTGTGCAGATGCATGTGGTGTCCAGGGGCCCCCAGCCAGAAGGCATATTACATTTATTGGTACATTTTCAGCTACACCAGCCAAAAATAGTCAATAGCCAATAACGTTAATTTTCCTTTTATCAGTACCATCCAATATGGCACCAATATATCTAATGGTGCCTTTCCATTTTTCCCATAGGAGATGCAGGCAAGTTAGACAGACAGTGAAAGGAATAATATAATTTACTTTTCTCTTGATCCAATCTTTTCAATTCAGGTCCCTGTAAAGTTTGAGCTCAATTCTGCATTGTTTATAGACTGTTCCATAGATTATATGACATTTATGCAGATTCTTGGGTGGAAACAAGCCAGCAAACTTGTGCATGCATGCATGTGTACAAACAGGTTGCTCCTATCCTTGTCTTCTCTCCAGCCATCTGATTACATTTTCTATAGACCCCTGATAATTTGGTTCATCGTGCCTGGTAATGGGACGCTGAGCTTCAATTGTCCTCCAAGGGAGCCTAGCACTATTGGAAGTATGTTTCAGTTTAATCACCTATCGTCTTCATCCTGGTTGTGGCTATCATGCTTTTAGAGACTCTAGGGAATGGCAAGATTGTCTGTCTCCCTTTCTCCAATTTACCCAGGTCCAGTTGTTCTCTGGTCATAGCATATGAATATAATAGGCCTGGCTTCAAATCCTGGCTGAATCCCCATTTCAACATATGCCAGGGGTTGAAGCAGGGATCTCCAGGACTTAAAAGCAGGGTTGTCTATGTTTTGACCTGAAAACTATAGAGTTGTCTTCAGTATGTCTGAGACACAGATGGGGGCATGTAATGCATTGACCAGTGAGTGATGCTGACACAAGGCCCAATTTAATGTAGCAGCTTGTGGATTTGTAGTAAAAGATGAACCAAATGAAAAACCTTGGACAGGTCACTAGGAATCACAGACTAAGGGCTTGTAATTGCTTCCCTGCATCTTATTTTGTTGAGGTAGGGGAAAGGAAGAAAATACAGTCTCGCTGACAATCTCTCTTTACCAAGTAGAAAACAAGTAATGATTGCAAGTGGGAATGATGGACAGCCCCAGACTGTACTCTCTGGGTTTGAATAGAGCTGTTAAGTGGCATCTGAAGGGCTAAAGCATGGGTGATTAAAAAGATGCTATCTTCAAGCCTCAGCCAGCCAGACAATGTGTATTTTTGATGGGTAAATCCTGAAACAATTATGTCCCAGAGTGTAGTTGGGTTGTTTCTTATCTAACTAATGACCTATTGGCAAGACTGCTTTTAAAAGGTTTATAATGTCTAATACTTACAAGGACAGAAGTTGCTATGGCTCATATGTGCACTGTACTTTGCTTAAAAATAATTAGTCAGTGGTTATATATGTAGGTTTATCATTAATACCCCCTTTCCTGGGTGAAGTTCTGTTTTTATCCTGATTTATAAAAGGACTCGCTGCTTTTCTCAGATTGCCGTATACATCCGACACATTGAGCTGTACACAACTTGGTCTTCTAAGCTTTCTCTTCATCTACTCTCTCTATTTAATGAGATGCTGGTCTGGTGTATAAAAACAACTGTGCTCATTTCTGATTAGATTCTAAAGTAACTTAGCTGGGTTGAAGAGCGCAAGAGAGTGAGCTGAAACTACTCAAAGCTATGGGAAGGAGCTAGAGAGAGAGAGTGAGTGTGTGTCACACCCTTCTTTATGGGGTAAGTCCTCCTTAACCCTTACCCTTTTGGTATCTGGCTATAAGGACACACACAAACCTTCTGTGCATGTGAATGACATATGCACCCCAGACATGGTTGAAACGACCCTTGTGTCACAATTCCCCTGCTGTTTACTTCGGGGAGGGCTGTGTGTGATACTTAGTATCAATATGGGACTCGCGGGAC